AGCTCCACGAGCAGCAGAAGCAGCTGATGCAAATGCAAAGTACTTCCCAATCTGCGCTGATGAGCTCCGGTCCTACGCATTCATTAAATAATTCACGGTAAAATACAAAGTGCGCGTATCGCATATATTTTTATTAAAGTAAAACGAAAATCAAAAGTTATTAATCAAAATTTATTACTATATATTGTACGAAGGCGAAATAGCCTAATCTTACTAAAATAATTTTTTATTATTACTATATAATAATCTCTTTTGTTCTTGTTATTGTTTATAGATATTCTCGGAATCGTTGCGTCGTCTGAAATTCTCCAACTTGAATTTATCTAATATGACAATGAATAATAATAAGCCTATACGATTCGCCGATTATCAAAAGAAACAGCGTAAAGTCGACGATACTAGATCTTCAAAATCGATCAAGTTCTTTTTTACACCAAGTACTCATTCGAATCATAATATTTAATGAATTAAATCTTTACTTTATTACTTTTTTTCTATTTATAATATAATTATATATATACGTTATATCTTAATTCGATCATTATATTTATTTTGTTCAAATACGTAAATTACACCAAGTACTCATTCGAATCATAATATTTAATGAATTAATTCTTTACTTTATTACTTTTTTCTATTTATATATAATTATATATACACGTTATATATCTTAAATTCGATCATCATATTATATTTGTTCAAATACGTGAATTTTATAAAAATTATAAAAATAATTGTAAATTACATATAATATATATTTTTCATAAATTTTATATTTTATAATTCACAAAAAGTATAATTGACAAATATATATATATATATATATATATATATATATATTATATAGTGTGCGATTAATTATGATAATTGTTTATAAAATTGTAGTTAAAAAAAATATATATATGTATATATAAATATTTTAATAATTTTATATTATCTATAACTCGCAATAATGATTTTTTTTATTAAAATATATATCCCTGGATATCTAGAAATAATTATATAAAATTCAAAAATATTGAAATTAAATTTAGATTGCAATTTTTTTACTAATAAAAGATGGGTGATAATTATCGTGTCATCGATAAAAATATGGCCTATCAAATTCGTTTTGTGAATCGCGTTTCTATATTGACAAGTGTGTAGTAGCTACACTTTATCTGTACTTTCTGCACTTATAATGAAATAGATACATAAAAGTATTGCGTCACAGATTAATAGACAGATCGCCAAAGGCCTGCCTAAAGAAGAGACCGCCATCTTCGTGCGATAGACTTTGCCCCTTACCGACACACTTTGCCCCTGGTTCGAGTCCGTGCTAAATTTCGTAGACTTGAACCAAAAGACTTTGCCCCTGGTTCGAGTCCGTGCTAAATTTCGTAGACTCGACCAAAAGACTTTGCCCCTGGTGCAAGTCCAGGCTAAATTCGTTTGACATTACCAACAGACTTTGCCCCTGGTGCGAATCCAGGCTAATTGATCATGAGACCAATTTGAGAGATTTGGCCCCCGTTGTGTGTGTGTGTGTGTGTGTGTGTGTGAGAGAGAGAGAGAGAGAGAGAGAGAGAGAATATTTTACATATATGCATATATATATATAAAATTTATTAAATATAAAAAATATATTTTTTACACATAAAATGTTTTTTTATTGAAATAATCACGATTTTAAATGTGATATAACACAGTGTTCAAAAATTTTTTAATTAAATTTTTTAATTAAATTTTATTAAAGAAAATTACTTGAAATTTTTTACATTAAGAATTTAAAGGCTCCTTATTCTCTTGTAGAAATTTATCACTACGCCAATTAATCACTTATTTCGAGTATTTAAAATACTATAATATACAGTAATTTAAGTATTCGAAATAAAAGTGATTAATTACTCGAAATAAGTGATAAATTGGCGTTACTAGTAATAAATTTCTATAAGGGTTGAAATAAAGTATAAGAGATAAATAGGCTATATGTGAGCCGTATGCGAAATGTGAGATGTAAGACGCATATTGAAATTTAATTTTTCGATATAACTTTCAAAAATGTACACGAGGTACAAAAAATTAGCTTGGACATTTGTAAGACTTAAAATTGGGATTAATTCTCAATTCTATTAATTAAATTTCGATATAACACACCTTACATCCGCGCACGGCTCACATATATATAGCCCATTTATTAGTGCAATTTTTAAGTTCCTTATTTTTCAAAGTTCACCTTTTTACGTTATCAAATATTTTTACGTTTTCAAGAATTTTATATTTTTACTTACCGCAGTTTCTTATCCAAATGTAAAATCTTTTATCGCAGTCTATAAAAAATTGAAACAATTTACAATTTTATGATATAATATTATTATTATTACAATTTCTATATATATGCACATCTGTCAAATATCGTGATTTATTTCACATTATTATTATCTATTTTAATAAAAAAAAAAACAAAAACACTTGCAACAATCAAAAATAAACCGCCTGCCGCGAACGGAAAATGCCAAGAAAGCACGCAATTTCCGCGAATCTCGTAATTTTTTTGAAAAATCAACAATTTCAACGAAATTGTAAATTCTTCAAATCACTGCACAAGTATAATTCACAATAATAATTTTCAGTAACTACGATAAAAAATCGTATACTGAAAACCGCAAACGAAAGTGCAATGGGAGTAAGAGTAAAGTCTGTGATAAAATTAATTGGCAATAGAAAATTAATAATTTTCAAATAGAAAAATTTTGAAATTACCGAGGATTTACAAATAATAAAGTAAAAATATTAAATAATTTATGTTTTCGAATTTTGCTCGCGGAGAGGATCTTTAAAACAAGATTTTTAGAAGAGAGGACCTTTAAAATATAAACAGGCAAAAACGTTGGAAAAATTAAAGCGCGCGTTTAAACAGATAAACGCAATGAAATAAATACGCAATTGTTTTTACTTATCGCTGTAAGCTCACAAGCTTCTGACGTGCTATACACTTTTATATAATATATACAAGGTGTCCGGTAACTAACGGACCAATGATTAAGGGCGGATTCTCTGGCCAATTTGGAGACGATTTTTCCTTAGCAAAAATGTTGAGAAGTCAATAATTTTCGAGTTATAAGCGATTGAAAAAAATAGGTTTTTTGAAAACTAAACGTTTTGGAGTTAAAAGTCTAACATAATTACATTCTTCAGTTAATTTCAGGTAGAGTTTACTATAATAAAATTTTAATTTAAGGCTTAGTTATAAAGATACATAATGACAAAGATTGGAAAGTTGTAAAAAATGATGACCTTTTTCGACATTTTCGCTGAGGAAAAATCGTTCCCAAATTGACCAAAGAATCCATTTGTAATCATTGGTCTGTTAGTTACCGGACACCCTGTATATTGGACACGAGTTTCGTTTGTTTCAGATTCTCGAGAGTTGAAGTAGGAACATACGAGTATCATATATCGTTTGTGACTTGCCGAATGAAAGCAAGACAGAGAGCGAACGAGATGATGAGCTTAATAGCTCATAATGTTATAAATAAATAAATAAAAAATTATAACCTGACCTACTAGTTATTGAATCTTTTTTTAATAAAATGTTTCATTATTATTATCATCTAAGTCTAAGTCGTTTAATTACTTTTTAGTTTTTTAATAATTAATTTAATTTATTCTAGTCATTTTTATATGAGAAAAATAATATCACGTATACGTTTTATAATGAATTAATATATTTCGGGAACCGAATTATATATTCTTAATAATATAAAAGTGTTCAAAAATTATATTTGACTTTTAATTTTAATTATTTTATAGCAAAGAGTTCCGAAATCTCTTACACACATAATGGGGATTTTTTTCATCCATATAATTCGCAATTAAGTATATATGTTAATTATTAATTTTAATAAAATAAAAATTAAAATTAAAGGTCAAATATAATTTTTAAACACAAATATATTAAATTAATTATAAAACGTATACCCATGATAGTATTTTTCTCGTACAAAAATAATTAGAGTAAATTAAAAATCATAAAAGATTAAAAATTAATTAAAGAATTTAAACTTATATTTTATATAATAATAATAAAACATTTTATTACGTCAAACCGTCGTGAAATAATTAAATAAAATTTGCTAGTTACGTCAAAGTCAAGTTTTCTAAGCTTATAAAACATTTTATTAAAAAACAGATTCAATAAATATAAGTACATGTTATATATATACTTATATTTATTGAATCTGTTTTTTTATAAAATGTTTTATTATTATCATATATAATATAAATTATTTAATTATTTTTTAATTTTTTTATGAGTAATTTAATTTGTTCTAGTTATTTTTGTACGAGAAAAATACTATCACGGGTATACGTTTTATAACGAATTAAATATATTTATGTTCAAAAATTATATTTGACCTTTAATTTTAATTTTGTATTTTATTAAAATTAATAATTAACATATATACTTAATTGCGAATTATATGGATGAACAAAATCCCTATTATGTGTGTAAGAGATTTCGGAACTCTTTGCTAAAATAATTAAAATTAAAAGTCAAATATAATTTTTGAACACTTTTATATTATTAAAAATATATAATTCGACTCTCGAAATATATTAATTCATTATAAAACGTATACGTATTAGTATTTTTCACATATTAAAATGATTAGAATAAATTAAATTAATTATTAAAAAACTAAAAATTAATTAAACGACTTAGACTTAGATGATAATAATAATGAAACATTTATTAAAAAATAATTATAATAGGTCAGGTTAATATTTATTTATTTATTATTTATTTATTTATTTATAACATCATAAAATTCTGTCCTTTCCGAAATACGCGAACGCTACGAAAAGATAAATCTCGTACATGCCGCCGGACGAGTTCATGAGCATGAGACGCTCTTATCTTGGGAACGTATTAATAGTTACTGCATTGACCACTACTACGATATGGCGCTGAAATCAGTGAGAAATGCTGGTCTCTCCTTCATCCAGACCTTTGGCGATCTGTCTATTAATCTGTGATTGCGTATAGTCGGGTAAAAAAAGAGGAAAAGGATATATATAAGGAGAAAGACATACAGAAAAAGAAAAAAATACGAAAAACAAAGAAAGTGCAACTGAAGACCTATCTATAGACATATATTTGTTAAATGATAATTTTTACAAATTAATTAATAGATCGATTTATGTGATTTCAATGAAGGATTTATGTTCGATATAAAATGTCTGTCAACATATTGATAGCATAGTATGTAATTCATATTACAAATCACATGCAATATCTGAAATATTTCGCATTATGGCAGAGACAATTAATAGTGATAGTAATGCATCGAACATTGATAACAACATGACGAAAAATGTGCTCGATGATGTGCTTATTAATAATTTAAAGGAGGTAGGTAAATAATATCGTTAGTTATCTATATATAAGTTGTAGTGTGTTGAATAATATATAAAATTGACAAAAATAATATCAAGATTACCGGTATTAATTAATTCCCCAGATAGCCACAGTAATTATTATGACATCATTTTGATGTCAAAGTGCATCGTTTGCCATTTTGATGTCATAATAATTACTGTGGCTATCTGAGTCTTGTCATATGTGTTGGTCAAATAAAAATATATATATATTTTTTTTATTTCTTTTAAGATATATTGCTAATATTTTGTAGATAGTGTCTATGAAAACAGAAGACAGTATTTTGCAAGAGGTATCGGAACATATTAAACTTGCTACAAGATCAAACAATCAGCATGCGGATGGAATACAAAATAATATAGAACTAAGTGACAAAGAAGATGGGGAAATTGATGACAAGGATGAGGAGGATCACAAAGCAAAATTGCAAAAGCAAGTTGAAACTGGAGAGATTACTCCATTCGAAGCAGTATCTAAACAATCAATTTTACAGCAGAAAGAAAGGTAATGTCAAGGTTTATTTAGTTTTGATACTTTAAATAAAATTTAATTCAATATATAATAATTAAGAGATCTCTATAGTTTTGAACAATTTAGTTTTCTAATTCATCTTAATAATTATGCAAGATTAATTTTTTTTTTTATGTGTGACTTTATTAATTTAATTATTTAATTTAATGTAATACATGCATGATTTGATTTATTATTAATTTATTATTATGATTTTAATTTAAAAACTTAAATTTTTATTTAATTTTTATTTAATTTAGTTTATTATTAAAAGAATGAAAAACATTAATATAGAATAACAAATTATAGAATTATAGAATAGATTATAAAATAGAATATATAGAGAATAAAGTTTATTTTATTTTGTAGTTCTAGAAATACCAATAAGAACTCTCAATTGTTAGACCTCGAAAAATACTTCAAGCAGCAAGCTACTCTTGCGGAGCGAAAAAGAAAATTAAAGAAAGTATCCAAGACTCCTTGTGACAAAGATCATTCAGTGTCAGCTAAGAAAGCAAAATTATCTGATACTGATGCAAGGACAAATAAAAAATATCAAAAATCTAAATCTGATGAAAATAACAAAGATAATGCATTACAAATTATAGACGAGCCAGCTTGTACAAGCATAACAAATAAAACTGTAGACAATAATTCTGGAAGCGAATATATTCCTAGTGATGACGATTCAGGTAATAATAATATATATGTTTATAAGAAAACTTAAAGAATATATATCTATATTTTTATATTAAAAGAATAAAATGTTTTTTAGATGTAGAAGATAAAGCATCATATATATCTAAAAAGAGAAAAACTAAATCAGGATATGTACGCACAAAGAGAAGTATGTATTTTTGTCTAAACAATTCATATTTCTCTTAACTTGATCTTTTTTTCTATTTTATTTCTTATTATGTAAATGTATCATTATCATTTTGTTACTTTTTTATTATATATATTATTCTTACATATTTTTTTTAATTTCTAGCTCGAGACGACGGAGACAATAAAATATTTAAACAAAGGATGGAAACAAAAAGCTATCCCAAAGATGAAGCAATGCACAAAATTGATAATATCTTTAAAGTACCACAATGTATTTGGGAAAAATTGTACAGGTATAATACATATGTATATACATTAAGTAATTTTTGATATAAGTATTTAAAGTAGTTATATATATCCTTATTTGTATTTAAATAAATATAATAATTTACTTAATATTGGATTAATATATGATTAATGATTTTTGTTTGAATAATATAATTTTTCTAATTATAAATATTCTATTTATGCAGATACCAAAAGGTTGCGGTTAAATGGCTCTGGGAATTACATGGTCGTAAATTGGGTGGTTTAATAGGTGATGAGATGGGATTAGGAAAAACTGTCGAAGTTATTGCATTTCTTGCCGGTTTGGATTGTAGTGAATTACTCTCTCACAATGGAAGGTATTAAACGTATTTATCTTAATTATAATGTTTTTTTAAATTATGTGTGTGTGTGTGTGTGTGTGTATGATGTAAAATTTATACAAAATTTATAGAATATTTCTCGAAATTTTTTTTTTTTAATTATTGAAAAATATGATTTTCTCGAGAAAGAGAAAGAGAGGTACATGAGTATATTATTTTATTTTTTTTATTTATTTTTATAATTACATTTATATATAAAGTTGTATTGATATATAGGAAAAATAAATATTGTATGCATGATTGATGTATGTAGGTATAGAGGATTAGGACCGACTATAGTTGTATGTCCTGCTACTTTAATGGAACAGTGGGTGAAACATTTTCACGATTGGTGGCCTCTCTTTAGAGTCGTTGTGCTTCATCATTCTGGAGGTTACAATGGTAAGAATATAAAGTATGCACCAAGAGAGATTATCTTTATAACAATTGAGGAATTTGTTAATTAATTTTACTAAAAAATTTCCATAAAGTTCAATTGCCATTATGGAAAACAGTATTTGAGTAACAATGAAGTAATTGTAATACAAAAAGAAAATTTGGAAAAATTGTTTCAACTTTATGGTTTTTATATATACATATTAGTTGTAACATTATATTTATTTATGTTTATATTTATTATATGATACATAAATAATAATAGTCAATAGTGTATCATATTAAATATCATTCATGGTGTTCTGATCCAGGTGATCCAGAAAGTCTGATAGAATCCTTGCAAACTGGCGGAATACTCGTTACTTCTTACAATGGGGTTCTCAAACACAAAGATTTGCTCGTATCCAGTCAGTGGCATTATGTTATTCTCGATGAAGGCCACAAGATTCGTAATCCACAAGCAAAGGTGATTTAATTGTTAAAGTTGCGAGAAATTAATCAGTGTCCTTTTTTTTAGTTTTTAATACATATATTTAAAGGAAGGAAAGGTTTGGGAACGCTCCTGTAAAAAAAAAGCGCCTTGTAATCCCCAATTGGGGCAGCAATAAATATATCTATCTAATACATATATTTATTAATCATATTTGTTATTAGCCTATTTAACAAATAATTCAATTTATATAAGAGATAAGTATTGTATTAATTAAAATATGCTAGTGTTTAATATATAATTATAATAATTAATAGAACAAATGTTTTTGATTCGCAGGTGAGCCGTGCAGTAAAACGATTCTCGACACCGCATCGATTGCTATTGAGTGGTAGCCCAATGCAAAATTCCCTGAAGGAGCTGTGGTCCTTGTTCGATTTTATTTTACCTGGGAAATTGGGCACTCTGCCTGTATTCTTGGAACATTGCGCAGTTCCTATAACACGTGGTGGTTACGCGAACGCTACACCATTACAGGAAGCCACGGCTGTCCACGTAGCCACTATGTTGAAAGACGCCATCACGCCATACATGCTACGAAGAACAAAGAACGACGTAAAGCATCATCTCACTTTGCCAGAAAAAAATGAGCAGGTTGTGTTCTCCTTCTAAATTCAATATCGGCTTTTTATAAACATATGTTCTTGTTTGTTTAATTTTCTTCTAAATATCTTTAGTTTTTTTCTTATTATACATTCTTTTTTGAAAGAATATATTGTAAACTTTGTTTTATCTTGATTGAACAGAAATAAATTAATTCTTTCTTTTTGCTTTCTCTTCCTCAGGTGTTATTCTGTAGCTTAACGGATGAGCAGAAAAAATTATATAAAAAGTATCTATGTTCGGAAAATGTATCCTTTATCTTGCATGAGAAAAATAATCATGAAAGTGGAAAATATAGAGCAAGATTTCTCGTCGCATTGTCAGAGTTGAGAAAGATATGCAATCATCCAGACTTGTTTTTGTATACCAGGGAACTCGTAAGATATTGTTAACCGTATTATGAAAATTAATTAATTTTTTATAACATTACAAATTTTACTTTTATTTAAGGATTCGGATGACGATATCACTTTATCAGAAGAACAATTAAAGAAATTTGGTTACTGGAAACGTGCTGGAAAAATGAATGTGGTTCGATCTCTCTTGAAAATTTGGCATAGACAACAACATAGGGTGTTACTTTTCACTCAGGGAAAACAGGTAAACAATATTTATATTACAGATTCCATAATTGAAAATTTTATTCGTCAGTTTTAAAAGTTAGAATGTTCATAGAGATAGAAAGACGTTTTTTTATAATCAAGTATCATGTCACATCAGAGCAACATGATTTTTTTTTTTTTACAAAAGCGTACAATTTTTCATGATTTTTTAAATGAAAGAGTTTAGAATACTAAATATATTATTAATTATATAAAAAATAGATTTATCACATCTTATATTTTTTTCTTTGCAGATGATGCAGATTTTGGAGTGTCTGTTGCAACGCGAGGGATATACCTATTTGAAAATGGATGGGACAACAGCGATGTCTCAACGACAACAAACGATTGACACATTTAATAATGTACGCATTAAATCGGTGGAAATATTAATTTATATGTAATGGAATGAAAAACCATTTCCATTATAATTCAAATTTTTTTTTGTTTTTCGAAAAGGATTCGTCGTATTTCGTGTTTCTTCTGACCACGCGCGTAGGAGGCCTAGGAGTAAATTTGACTGGCGCGGATCGAGTAATCATTTATGATCCAGATTGGAATCCGGCTACGGATGCTCAAGCGAGGGAACGCGCGTGGAGAATAGGCCAGAATAAACAAGTTACTGTTTACAGACTAATTACTGCTGGTACGATTGAGGAAAAGGTTGGCAACAACAAATTATCATATTTTACGAATTGTAAAAATGTTGTACTAATTATAATTAAAATAATTTCAAACTTTTATATCTTTTGAAAACATTACTCCGTTATATATTATTCTTTATTGTATTATTTTATATGATAAGATTAAAAGCTTTTATTTTTTTCTTTTCAGATGTACCACAGACAGATCTTTAAATTATTACTTTCTAACAAAGTTCTTGATGAGCCACGCCAGCGCAGATTGTTTAAAACGACAGATTTGGTAGAATTATTTAATCTAAACGAGCCAATAGATGGCAAATCTTCTGAATCTGACAATTTATTTAGAGAATCCAAATTAACGCCTAAATCTGGCGGTTTTTCACTTAGTAAGATCGAAGAGATGAAAAAATTAGCTTCGGCTATTAGCAAGAAAATAAGCGCGAGCATAAAATCAACGTGTGACAAAAATAAAAATACAAATGATAGCACTTGCGAAGAAAAACAACACGATGAACAAAATAATAATTCGAAACACACCGAGACTCTTGCTACGAAAAACGATTCGTCTGTGGACCAAACCTCTTGCGATTCAATTAGCATCTCAAAATCTCCAGCCAGATATAATGAAGATTCAAATTTGGCTTCAAATGCGGATATTGAAAGCATTAGCAATGTAGAGAATAAAAATATATTTATAGAGAATAATCAGCAAACTATACTTACAATAAAGTCTATCAATGATAATTCCATGGAAAAGAAAAATGAATCAGTTTTAAATGACGATAAAATTACCGCACATAATATATCGTCTGTTCGTAAACATAAGAAACATAAAAAAAATTCACATTCGAGCAAGAAAAATATTTCTGCAATATTCGAAGGAGAACGTGTTTCTTGTTTAATAGGTCGTCGCCTAGGGCATTCAAATGAAAAAAAAGAGCCAATTTCAACCACGGACGATGATTATGTGTTGAGAAAATTATTCACCAAATCAAGTAATTATTTATGTTTAATATTTTTTTGAGAGTTTACAAATTTAATTCATACTTTTATCTAATAGTTAAATGAATGTATTTAATGTAAATATTTAACATTTATATAGACATTAAATATTAATTATTGATTCAGCAAAATATTATAATACATATAAAATTCTGTATTTGTTTTAGCTGTCAGTTCTGCCTTTCAACACGAAACAGTATTATCGAATGCATATCGTAACAGCGATAGTGAGAATATGCTACAACGCTTTGCACGTGAAGAAGCACAAAAAAGCATGAATGTCATCCGTGAATCAGGGCAATTTTGTTGGAGGCCAGCATAGAATAGACAAAAAATTGTAATGCCAACTCTGTGTATTTATTTTCTCGCTTTTTTCTATGCACTTGATTTTGTACGTATATGAATTTTTATATTTCTTACAAAAAAAAGGCTGCGAAGAAACTGTAAATATATGATGACTTATAATAAGATTTATAATTTTTTTTCACAATTGTTTTGTACATGTGTTTTGTAGTAATTAACACAATATGTTTTGATAGAAAGTAAACTATTTTTTATAATAGTATAATATATTATAAAACTATGCTTGATATATAAATACATTTAATTATGAAAATATAAATAACATATACATCTCTCTCAATGTTTTATTTATGTGCTTCAGAAAACAACTTAATCTCATCTCTATCTATAATTCTTCCTGCTTCTAAATTTCAATTTACATCTCATAATATGGATAATATAAAAAGTAAATAATCATTATAATAATTCATTTCTCAGGGTAAAAAGATATGTATATTGAGCAAGCATAAAGAAAAATAGAGTAAATTTTTGAGATTAAAATTTACAATATCAAATGTTTAATTTCTTTTTAATAACAGGACAGTGATTAGTCCAGTATTGTTAACTTACCTTACTCAGAATACATATTACAACAAAGATTATATTCCATCAAAATCGCAAAAATGTATTGAGATTGGGTCCAAACCTACCTAATGGATCTTCTGGAAACATGACATAATCCCCAACAAAAGTTGGCGCCAATAAACGATTTAATATTGTATCGCGCCATTCTGGCTTTTCCTTATACCAATCTCTAAACTGATCTGTAGAAACTACTATTCCTCCGCATGCTGTTGCGTATTCCAAAATGTATCTACAATAAAAGAAGCAAATTGGACTTTTCATTATGGCTTTAGAACATTTTAATATAAAAATAAACTTTTAAAGATATACATTATTTTTATGTAAAAGAGATAAATACGCAAAAAAAAATAGAAAAATATTTGTTGTAACTTAATATTACATAATTTTTTTGTAATATTAAATTGTTCTATGCAAAGTACAAGTATTGTAATTGACATTTTTGTAAAATATATATGTGTAATGAGTTTTATATTACACATGGTTATTTATAAAAAATAAAATAAATGATTAAAATATCTTATGCATAGGTAAAATTATATATATATATATATATATATATATATATATATATATATATATGAGATTTTTCTATTTAGATATGTGACAAATTTACCTGTCATCATGAGGCGTAATTTGTCTGCCAGCAATTTTGCGACTAGGTGTAAAAACAACTATACCATTTTTATACCAATTTTCAAGTAATATATATTCTCTTTTTCGTATATATTGCGGTAAGAAAACTTTGACAATATGACCTCTTGTTGTAAAATAATCTACCACTAATTTGATGCCTTTAAGTGAGAATGTGCGATGATTTGTTTGACTAAAATAAAAAATAAAATATATTTTGCTTAAAATAGCAACTGAAATAAAATGTATATTATATTGCAAGTGTATAATTTTTGTAATCTTGTAGCTATTCACACATTTATGCTTAGGAAAATTTATCATTAAAATATATAGAAAATATAAGTGTAAAAAGATTAAGATCATACGCCATTGCAACATTGCATCCATCAACAATTATTTCTCTTAATTTATGACTTGAATCTCGACTACTTTGTTCATCAGATACAATTGTACTTCTTTCTTCTTCGCAGAATTGCGCATTAGACCGTGTACTGGATCGTGTGCAACCTGAATTTTTGTTATTGGTATTATGCTTTTTTCGACTTTTGTTTGGTGACAATGTAAGTTCATTAAAATTGTGACACAGTTTTCGTCTCTTCGCTGCAGATTCTGTATCTGCCTTTAGTAATTCTAGATTCTTCAGATTTGGCCTTGTATCTATCACAAAATTTACTTCTTTATTTGATTTATTTTGAGAATACGTATTTTCCTTCTTTTTATTTCTAGAATTATTTCCCTTATTCAAGCTTGAGGAATATTTGAGAGAAGACCATAATTCAATTACATCGTCCTCTGTTTGCAATGGTGCTAAATATGACAAGTATTATTTTATAATAGTCAAATAAAATAAATTTTTCTATCAGTCTTTCTGCACAAAAAGAATTAATTTACCTATATTCTCACCATCCGTCGAAGAATATGCATTTGATGTTTTTCTAGCGAATAAATTTGATAATTTTTCTCTGTTTTGCCTAACAGAGTTTTGCAATTCTTTTGTTCTAGATTTTTGCTGCCAAGACAAGGATGGCGTAATCGGACTGCATTCAATGACACTGAGTGAAGAAGCGCTTTCTTCATCTTCTCCACTAGTTTCACTGTCATTTATAATGATTACACTGTTTCGCGAAGATTTTCTTCTTAAGGAGATTGCACTTTGTTCTTTCAACTTTCGCAACATCCCACGAGTCAATCTCTTCTCTCCATTAAAAAGGTCGATAAGTTTACCATCGTGCCTACAATCTTTCCTGCTAATACAATTTGATTGATAATATAATTATCAATCTTTGTTTTGGCATTGTTTAATACAAATTTAAATGCGTAAATCGTTACCTTTCCACGAAAGAACCGTTCAATGGACTTTCATAACATTGTGCTTCTCGACGTCTCTTTGTTCTAACATTAGTAGATTGAATATTACTCATCGTAAATTTAAACCTGGCGAAACAAATAAAAAGAAAATTCTTTGATAATCAAGATATTTATCAAAACGTAATAAAGATAAATATTGAATCCGTCCACGAGAACAACATATGCGTCTATCAGTCGTTAAGCTCTATCGGAAAGATTAGAGAGACATTTTCGAACTTGATCCGACAGTTGGCAAGTCAGCGCGCATGCGCGTGCGTTTGACAGATGGTAAGTCAGTGCTCCGCCACTAGAGGGCGCCACCAGCGCGATTCAATAAACTGAGCGTGCGGGCGGTGTTCCGCGGAGCGTGACGAGTGATGCGAATGTGTAATATGTGTATGCGTGTATGTTTGTATTGGTGACATTATTAGAGTGACAGACACGGTGGAACCACAGATTAATAGACAGATCGCCAAAGGCCTGCCTAAAGAAGAGACCGCCATCTTCGTGCGATAGATTTTGCCCCTTACCGACACACTTTGCCCCTGGTTCGAGTCCGTGCTAAATTTCGTAGACTTGAACCAAAAGACTTTGCCCCTGGTTCGAGTCCGTGCTAAATTTCGTAGACTCGACCAAAAGACTTTGCCCCTGGTGCAAGTCCAGGCTAAATTCGTTTGACATTACCAACAGACTTTGCCCCTGGTGCGAATCCAGGCTAATTGATCATGAGACCAATTTGAGAGATTTGGCCCCCGTTGTGTGTGTGTGTGTGTGTGTGTGTGTGTGAGAGAGAGAGAGAGAGAGAGAGAGAGAGAGAATATTTTACATATATGCATATATATATATAAAATTTATTAAATATAAAAAATATATTTTTTACACATAAAATGTTTTTTTATTGAAATAATCACGATTTTAAATGTGATATAACACAGTGTTCAAAAATTTTTTAATTAAATTTTTTAATTAAATTTTATTAAAGAAAATTACTTGAAATTTTTTACATTAAGAATTTAAAGGCTCCTTATTCTCTTGTAGAAATTTATCACTACGCCAATTAATCACTTATTTCGAGTATTTAAAATACTATAATATACAGTAATTTAAGTATTCGAAATAAAAGTGATTAATTACTCGAAATAAGTGATAAATTGGCGTTACTAGTAATAAATTTCTATAAGGGTTGAAATAAAGTATAAGAGATAAATAGGCTATATGTGAGCCGTATGCGAAATGTGAGATGTAAGACGCATATTGAAATTTAATTTTTCGATATAACTTTCAAAAATGTACACGAGGTACAAAAAATTAGCTTGGACATTTGTAAGACTTAAAATTGGGATTAATTCTCAATTCTATTAATTAAATTTCGATATAACACACCTTACATCCGCGCACGGCTCACATATATATAGCCCATTTATTAGTGCAATTTTTAAGTTCCTTATTTTTCAAAGTTCACCTTTTTACGTTATCAAATATTTTTACGTTTTCAAGAATTTTATATTTTTACTTACCGCAGTTTCTTATCCAAATGTAAAATCTTTTATCGCAGTCTATAAAAAATTGAAACAATTTACAATTTTATGATATAATATTATTATTATTACAATTTCTATATATATGCACATCTGTCAAATATCGTGATTTATTTCACATTATTATTATCTATTTTAATAAAAAAAAAAACAAAAACACTTGCAACAATCAAAAATAAACCGCCTGCCGCGAACGGAAAATGCCAAGAAAGCACGCAATTTCCGCGAATCTCGTAATTTTTTTGAAAAATCAACAATTTCAACGAAATTGTAAATTCTTCAAATCACTGCACAAGTATAATTCACAATAATAATTTTCAGTAACTACGATAAAAAATCGTATACTGAAAACCGCAAACGAAAGTGCAATGGGAGTAAGAGTAAAGTCTGTGATAAAATTAATTGGCAATAGAAAATTAATAATTTTCAAATAGAAAAATTTTGAAATTACCGAGGATTTACAAATAATAAAGTAAAAATATTAAATAATTTATGTTTTCGAATTTTGCTCGCGGAGAGGATCTTTAAAACAAGATTTTTAGAAGAGAGGACCTTTAAAATATAAACAGGCAAAAACGTTGGAAAAATTAAAGCGCGCGTTTAAACAGATAAACGCAATGAAATAAATACGCAATTGTTTTTACTTATCGCTGTAAGCTCACAAGCTTCTGACGTGCTATACACTTTTATATAATATATACAAGGTGTCCGGTAACTAACGGACCAATGATTAAGGGCGGATTCTCTGGCCAATTTGGAGACGATTTTTCCTTAGCAAAAATGTTGAGAAGTCAATAATTTTCGAGTTATAAGCGATTGAAAAAAATAGGTTTTTTGAAAACTAAACGTTTTGGAGTTAAAAGTCTAACATAATTACATTCTTCAGTTAATTTCAGGTAGAGTTTACTATAATAAAATTTTAATTTAAGGCTTAGTTATAAAGATACATAATGACAAAGATTGGAAAGTTGTAAAAAATGATGACCTTTTTCGACATTTTCGCTGAGGAAAAATCGTTCCCAAATTGACCAAAGAATTCATTTGTAATCATTGGTCTGTTAGTTACCGGACACCCTGTATATTGGACACGAGTTTCGTTTGTTTCAGATTCTCGAGAGTTGAAGTAGGAACATACGAGTATCATATATCGTTTGTGACTTGCCGAATGAAAGCAAGACAGAGAGCGAACGAGATGATGAGCTTAATAGCTCATAATGTTATAAATAAATAAATAAAAAATTATAACCTGACCTACTAGTTATTGAATCTTTTTTTAATAAAATGTTTCATTATTATTATCATCTAAGTCTAAGTCGTTTAATTACTTTTTAGTTTTTTAATAATTAATTTAATTTATTCTAGTCATTTTTATATGAGAAAAATAATATCACGTATACGTTTTATAATGAATTAATATATTTCGGGAACCGAATTATATATTCTTAATAATATAAAAGTGTTCAAAAATTATATTTGACTTTTAATTTTAATTATTTTATAGCAAAGAGTTCCGAAATCTCTTACACACATAATGGGGATTTTTTTCATCCATATAATTCGCAATTAAGTATATATGTTAATTATTAATTTTAATAAAATAAAAATTAAAATTAAAGGTCAAATATAATTTTTAAACACAAATATATTAAATTAATTATAAAACGTATACCCATGATAGTATTTTTCTCGTACAAAAATAATTAGAGTAAATTAAAAATCATAAAAGATTAAAAATTAATTAAAGAATTTAAACTTATATTTTATATAATAATAATAAAACATTTTATTACGTCAAACCGTCGTGAAATAATTAAATAAAATTTGCTAGTTACGTCAAAGTCAAGTTTTCTAAGCTTATAAAACATTTTATTAAAAAACAGATTCAATAAATATAAGTACATGTTATATATATACTTATATTTATTGAATCTGTTTTTTTTATAAAATGTTTTATTATTATCATATATAATATAAATTATTTAATTATTTTTTAATTTTTTTATGAGTAATTTAATTTGTTCTAGTTATTTTTGTACGAGAAAAATACTATCACGGGTATACGTTTTATAACGAATTAAATATATTTATGTTCAAAAATTATATTTGACCTTTAATTTTAATTTTGTATTTTATTAAAATTAATAATTAACATATATACTTAATTGCGAATTATATGGATGAACAAAATCCCTATTATGTGTGTAAGAGATTTCGGAACTCTTTGCTAAAATAATTAAAATTAAAAGTCAAATATAATTTTTGAACACTTTTATATTATTAAAAATATATAATTCGACTCTCGAAATATATTAATTCATTATAAAACGTATACGTATTAGTATTTTTCACATATTAAAATGATTAGAATAAATTAAATTAATTATTAAAAAACTAAAAATTAATTAAACGACTTAGACTTAGATGATAATAATAATGAAACATTTATTAAAAAATAATTATAATAGGTCAGGTTAATATTTTATTTATTTATTTATTTATTTATTTATAACATCATAAAATTCTGTCCTTTCCGAAATACGCGAACGCTACGAAAAGATAAATCTCGTACATGCCGCCGGACGAGTTCATGAGCATGAGACGCTCTTATCTTGGGAACGTATTAATAGTTACTGCATTGACCACTACTACGATATGGCGCTGAAATCAGTGAGAAATGCTGGTCTCTCCTTCATCCAGACCTTTGGCGATCTGTCTATTAATCTGTGGTGGAACGAACGACGGACGGCCCGCGATGAGTTTGATAGCGGTGGCGACCGACGCTAACAATAAGTGACACGCATCTCCGGCCGCGAAGAAAAAGCAGGAGAGAACCAGGCGAGCGATCGATGTGGCGAGAAATGCGGTCGAGAGGAGTCTTACAGCGATAGAAAAATACACGCTTCACCAGGGAATTCACACGCGCCCGTTCGCTCCTTATTATGGCAGAATGGATGAACGCAAATTGCTGCCGTTGCTGATACTCTTCCTGGCAAGTAAGTACTTTGTCGAATTACAACTGCGAGAGAGAAAGAGAGAGGTGGAGATGGAGATAGAGATATATGCATCTGGGATTGAGGAATTAAATGTCGCGATCATGCGATCCATGTCCGGCTATACGTAGTGTCAACGATCGTTACGATTCAGGGTCGAGTTATGTAAAGAGACCATCTCTCGCTGTTGCTCCCATTCGATTTCATCGCTTCCGTCAGTTGCTAATGCCACTTGCGTCATCGTCGCATAAGCATTGACGGAGTGCAGGAGTCACCTGTCGCGTCCTCGACGCGACTCGTTATTATTATCGTTTCATCGCTTTTTGAAACGCGCTCGAGAATCAATTAAAATCACGCGACATCTCGGAGCGTCTACATATCGTTTCATTTCATATTACATGTTTGTGCGCTTTTTTACAACCAGATAAATGTAGAGATAAATGTATATTCAGAAAAAGGAAGCAACAGAGAGCACAGACGATATACGACTAACATAAATTAATATTTTCTTAGTTATTTTATTCAATTATAGTTTGATTAAATTTTAACTAGAATTTAAATTTAACATATATAAGATAGGCAATAAGAGCCAAATCGCGGATGACAGTGCGTTATTCTAAACGAAACTAAATTTTTTCGTTAGAATTAAATACCTGTGCACAAGGCACCAAATTTTTACTTGGACACGGCCAAGATATAAAATTGGAATAATCTCTACAAGAGATTTTTAATTCCATGTATCCCCTATTCCCCCTAAAGAAATAAAGTGCGAGAGAAAAATATAGATCCGAAAGTCGCAGAATCGGGAATCGAACCCGAGACCTTTCGCTTGCCGGGCGACTGCTCTTCCAACTGAGCTATTCAGATTCTTTCGATTCTATACTTTTCTGTCATCCGCGATTTGGCTCTTATTGCCTATCTTATATATGTTAAATTTATATTTATATATTACAGAGCCTAGTTAAACTCTTAATTTATACACGCTGGCTTAAAGGCGTTTATTTACCAACATTAATATATATAACAGAGAAAAGTATAGAATCGAAAGAATCTGAATAGCTCAGTTGGAAGAGCAGTCGCCCGGCAAGCGAAAGGTCTCGGGTTCGATTCCCGATTCTGCGACTTTCGGATCTATATTTTTCTCTCGCACTTTATTTCTTTAGGGGGAATAGGGGATACATGGAATTAAAAATCTCTTGTAGAGATTATTCCAATTTTATATCTTGGCCGTGTCCAAGTAAAAATTTGGTGCCTTGTGCACAGGTATTTAATTCTAACGAAAAAATTTTAGTTTCGTTTAGAATAACGCACTGTCATCCGCGATTTGGCTCTTATTGCCTATCTTATATATGTTAAATTTATATTTATATATTACAGAGCCTAGTTAAACTCTTAATTTATACACGCTGGCTTAAAGGCGTTTATTTACCAACATTAATATATATAACAGAGAAAAGTATAGAATCGAAAGAATCTGAATAGCTCAGTTGGAAGAGCAGTCGCCCGGCAAGCGAAAGGTCTCGGGTTCGATTCCCGATTCTGCGACTTTCGGATCTATATTTTTCTCTCGCACTTTATTTCTTTAGGGGGAATAGGGGATACATGGAATTAAAAATCTCTTGTAGAGATTATTCCAATTTTATATCTTGGCCGTGTCCAAGTAAAAATTTGGTGCCTTGTGCACAGGTATTTAATTCTAACGAAAAAATTTTAGTTTCGTTTAGAATAACGCACTGTCATCCGCGATTTGGCTCTTATTGCCTATCTTATATATGTTAAATTTATATTTATATATTACAGAGCCTAGTTAAACTCTTAATTTAACTAGAATTGTTGTTACGAGACATTCCATTTGTACTCTCATTGTCAGTATTTCTCACTTGAGTTAGTATTCAACTCAATGCACTATGATTTTACCTCAATTGTGCTTGAATTTTGCTTAAATTAACTTTAGAGCATAATTCTACAAACATATATTTAAAACATTAAGTATAATTAGAAAATACAGTTTTTAAATCAGGTTTTTCAAAGTCTATAACTTTAAACATATCTTATGTTTTTTTTGCATTATATCTTGGAATTTTTGTATTATATTTTACTTGCTCGCTTGTGTGCTTAACAGAGTAATCATTCTTAAGGAGGTTTAATAAATTTGTTTATCGCTTTAGTCATCTATATTTACTTATAAATTATATTCTGAACAAGCAACAAATTTAAATTTCTGTTAGTTGATATACAGTTCAAGATCGCAAATTAATTTTCTCAATATGTCTTGATAGAATCGTACAATAAAAGTGAACAATCTTGCAATGAAATTTATGAATTTGTAGGATGGCAGGAGGCAGTGGCCGTGGACGTACCGATGCGGCACGTCGCCGTGGACGTGGGTAGAGACCTGCAGCTGGCTTGCGCCGACGAGAATGTCCTTTCCGAAGACTTGAATGCAAAAGTAATGTGGGTAAGAGAGGGACGAGAGGATGGGCAGATCGAGCGACTGAAGGTCGAGCGAAATGGCATGCTGTTGCTATTGAATGTTAGTGTGCATGACGCCGGCAATTATTCGTGCACTCGCCTGGACGGTGACCATGATGCTGTGAAAGCCAGAATCAACGTGGAAATCAGAAGTGCGTTTGCAAAATCGTTTGCAATATTGTTAATCAATCACCTACAACATATAGAAACATGTTAAAATTCTAATTTTTAAAGAGGCTTTTATTCGAGGTTTAAATTTATTCTGGAAAATTTAAGAGTAGATGAAGATTATAAATTTAGCGAAAAAATACATACGTGGTGTGGAAATATATTTTGAATTTTAAATTTTAGATATAGTACAAAAATTTGAAGATTGTCGAATAATATTTTACTTTTAAAGTAAGTATTTTCTCCAGATTTTATAATGATAGCTTTCTTCTATGTTTAGCACCTCCTCCAGCCTTGCACAATGTATGGGTTAAACCATCCACAATATTGGCTAACATTCTCTGGGAAGTGGCTGGAACTGGCGGTTATCCTATCATAGATTTCACTGCCGAATATCGTTTGAAACCAGCTGCAGGCGAGGAGCCGGAAGAGTGGAAACCTATTATTCCAACACACATTCCTCCAAATTCTGTAAATATTGCAAACTATTTGAAATAGTAGAATAGAAAAACAGGGATGGAAAACGTAACGCCGAGATAAGTCGAACATGACGGTTTATTTTTTTTAATTATAATTTTTACAACTCATACTATAGACAAATTTTGTTTGTTTATATTTTATATTTATATTAAGAAATTAGAAGAAGATATATGTATATAACGTTATGTAAGAATGAAAATTTGTGACAGCATTACAGAGTTATTCCATCTCCTGTAAATTAATTAGACTAAAACTAACGATTCTTTCTTATTATTATTTTAAAGAGACAAATAGACGTGTACCATTTGGTGCCAAACACTACGTACTCATTTCGAGTGTGGGCAACCAATCAGTTAGGAAGAGGAGAGATTGTGGAGGTCGAAGGTCATACACATTACAGCGTAGAAGAATTGGGTATTTTATTGCAATTACTCTATTATAATTATACCGCACGGTTATATTGTGTTATAAACATCTATTTACTGGGATAAAGTAAAATTTCAAATTTGATATATATCGTCATTCACGGTGCCACTCTAATTCTCATAAAAATAGAGAAGTTAAAAAAGAAGTATATATTGTTTGATAAATATTAATTTTAAAGAGTGACGATAGTTTTGGGATATTCTATGTATACATATATTGTATATATATATATATATATAATATGTCTCTTAAAAATTATAAGAGATATATTTTCTCTTTTTTTTCTATTTAAACTCTTTTCTTGTACAGCATCTAAACTAAAAATTAACACATCTTTATATTATGCGACTAATTTTCAGAACTCGCCAGACATCTTTTAGCCGGCGTAGAGAATTTCGATACGCGCGTCTGGGTGGCAGCTGTAGGTATTGTGATGGGCACACTTATGATTCTTGGTTTAGGTACTTGTTACCTACTGTATCGCGAGTGCAAGACACCCTGTAAGCATTTCCTATCTGGTAACCATAACGTAAGAGCTTCTCCGCTTCTACTCTGTCTCTTTACTGCTGCTACTACTACTACTTACTTTCTTCCGCTGGTGATGATCGTAACGTTCATGGCTCATTCCTCTGAGAAGCACGATTCTCTCAGAGGAGATTGTTCTACCTTTCATAGAAGCCTTCGCGCAAGTTAGCTGAAGAACTATTTACTCATCACTATTCACTTAACAAAGATATTAGTAATCTTAGGCTAGCTGACTCTATGGCTCTGATCTTTAGCTTTTTCTCTATTACGCGACACACACAGCCATGTTCTTCTAAATTATCTAGTACTTTTATATAATAATCTCGTTTCTATATATTTTTAAGCACTATTCATTAGGTTTAGCATCTGACAAGTATGACAAGCATTTAAACGAATCTTCTCATCAATTATATATTAATACTTTTTGAACCGCCGCACCGAACGCTGAAAATGAGCACTCAAGTATTAACTCATTTAACATTTTCTGTATCTCTTATACGATATAATAGCACTCATTGGAATGAAATCTTGAACTTTTCGATTGAATTTTTCTCGCCGCAGATTTACTTGTCTGGTTACTAACTCTTTTACGAATATATAAATATTTTCTCTCGCTCCTATTTCGATTAGATGTTACTTGTACCGTATAATGTTAATGAGGTACTAATAATGCCTGCTGAATAATAATCTAGTGCATTGAAAATATTACAATAGTCATAGAGAGCTATTTTATAATTTAGTTGAGTAACCGATAAGACTGATCTTCGGCAATATCGAGGTAGGTAGGTCAAGGGTAGCACGTTTATTTGTCAGGCAAACGATTGGCATCAGAGTATCGCATTAATCAAAAATTGTCGATTGTCGTGATAATTGGAAATGATGTGACAAGTACATATATACGATAATTTGCGAGATATGTTTTTCCTGATACCTGACAAAGAAAAATCGGTGAAGGGAGAGGGTAGAAGCTAATGAGGTCCGTGGCCCAGGCCAATGAAAATTAATCTCCGTTCCAAAATTGCAGCGCAGCTGGAGGAGCAGGAGGTGATTGAACTCGTGCCCAACATCATTCTGAATCCGGGATTTTTCGACGAGCGCACCGAGCACGTACCGCAGGACGAGAACTTCAACAATCAGACGACCACCCGCCTCAACAACAACAGCGTTGTGCAACCTAGACGGCTTTAGCGTTGTTTTTTGTTTAGCTTAGACTCGCTCCGTTCTAAAGTAAGTAAATTGGACGCAGTTTTCCACGTCGTCGTTTCAAACGTAAGCAACCGAATTTATCGAAAAGGTCTCGAGTTTGTTTAAAAAAAATAAAAAAAAATAAAAAGAAAAAAGAGAAAGAAGTAATAATGATCGACGAAGTCGATTAGCACTAAAATGCAAGACTATATTTAGCGATTTAACGGCAAAAGGAGAATACGCTTCGAGCGGAATTTCGAAAGTCACTTTGAGCTTATCAAAAGCTTCGAGCGACCCGCTAGTTTTCTCGACCTTTTCGTTATAATCGGGGATCGAACAAAAAAGTCAGTTTTTATTCTAAAATGCTTTTCGTAAAAGAATTTCTGCAATGCGATTTTCTTCTAAGATATTCGCAGAAAATAGTCGTTATTCTTGGAAGATAAAGGAGTAGATAAGTTAGCCTGTTATATACGTTCTGCTTTATAAAGGAGATGAAACTTAAATAATTTTTTTATATGTATAATAATCGAAAGAAATATAACTTAGACCGATTAAAACTCGATTTTCAAAGCCCGGATATCTTTTATGCAAAATGTTATAATTTTAGATTTGTAAAAATTTTTTGTGTCAAAAGGAAAGAAATAGAAAAAAGAAATTTTATTTTTGTTCGATCTCTGATCCTACGACGCGCAACAATGAAGTGTTCAAAAACCAGAGTAAGACTCCACATCAGATTTCTTTGCGAGAGAAGATAATAGATTTTTTGGAGATGTTTACTATAGGACGTTCTCTGTTTCTCTATCTTTTTCTCGCATAGTTTCTCGACGAGACAATGATTGCTCAGTGATCGAGCTTAAGAGAAGTGGAACTCCTATGAGCCAAAAGAATCGTAGTAAGACTGTAACCCTTTAATAAGGGTGTATAATTTAAAAGAACTCGAAGAATCACAAATCGTAATATTGTCAAAGAAAGAAAGAAATATATATTTTGCACTTGTTTTTACTTTTTCAAAAAACTAACGCAATGTGTGAATAGCACACATATGCGATCTTTAAGATTTTTTTAAAGATGCTCATTTATCGTTTAAGCGATCGAATCGTATAATATGATATATGTATGATATGATGAACTTACTGCCGTTTTAAGGTGTGCACAAGTTGTTGAAAGTTCCTTTCTAGGAATCTCCGTGGAAAATCTCTTTTTTTTGTTTTATTTATTATAAATATATATATAGATATCCCACATTTTTTTTCGTATTTGTAAATATGTGCTCGTTGTATGCTCTTTGTGGAAAAATCTCGAGATATGGAAGGATATAAGAGAATATCCATTTTAACATCGTAGCAATAAGTATAATTGAAGTATTGTTTATATACTAGATTTATCGATATTTTTCACAGTTAATCTCGCATGCAATTATTCGTGGAGAATGCAAATAATATTATTGCTTTGGCACACCTTTGGCACAAACTTGCCTCTGCACCCCACTTTAATAATTACAACTGCATCTACGACAAAACGTGTGATTCACACGTTTTGATCCGTAAAAATCATATTTTCCTAAACAGCGACTAAACCGGACAAATAAGAAAAAAAGAGCAGATAACTGTACGAAACATAAATCTCAATAGATACAATAAATCAAGAAGGTAATACACAATGTTTCACTTTAAAAGCAGCATTTTTTGATGATGATGAGATCGGTGTAAATTTCTAGTTAAGAAGAAAAAATCGATTGCATACTAGAAAAGTCTGTTATAGACTTTTCATTGTCGAAAGAAATGAAATGAATAGAAACGAATCATACACGGCATACACAGCAGCCTACGAGATGCGCGAGGTGTAATAGCTTCTTTGCATCGCGTACAATAAGATTTCAATAATCACTAGCAATTCTCTAACATTTAAATAAGATGAAGATAGAGCACATTACATATTTTGAATAACGCTACCGTTGTATTAGAACCGAATGAATCTTTGCAATTGTGAGCGATTGGACATTCTATACAACACTATTTAAGGCACTATATTTCGTGCATACGCGTACTTTAATGTTTAATTTGTTGTATTTAATTTTTGCGAAACAAAAAATATTTGATATAGTAGCAGAATCGATTAACAATTCGATGTGAATATATTATAGTTTTATTCTTTTATTATACTCTATATCTTTATTGTTTCAATTGCATAGGTCGAAAAAAATAGAAAGCAATATATTATTTATACGTGAGATATTTATGAAATTATTAAATAATTTAAAAATGTTTTCTTCTCTTAACATTGGCGAAGTATGTCATATTTTTGTCAATATTACATAATATTGAATTCGCTAAAAGCACAGTGACACTCACATATATAAATTTCGACTATGAGATGAGATGACAAAGTACTTTGATGCACGCAGGTTGTATAAAAATTGGTTGTGCGTTGTTACATTGAAGCTTTGGATCCGTTTCTCCAACACATTCTTAAATATATATGCATATATATATATATATATGTACTTATATATGTAAAAGAATTGCGATAAGAGCAAGCGGATCGATATTCAGCTTCGTACTATGCACTCTGCGTTGTGAATGGTATATCGAACTAAATATACATTAAGAAAAATAATACAATAATAATAATAATAAGTACATAATAATAATGATATGTGAAAATACTTATATATAATATATACATACATTATATATTTATATAACCGAAGCATCATGCAACTTTAGGCGTAAGGAAAGACAATTTTTATATACATTACGATTATGCTGAAATCTGATGATAATATTTATCTATATATCAAGGTAGACGATGATTCTATGCCGCGATACCACGTCTCGCTTTGCTAATTGACAAATCTCGCTCACGAAAAATTGTTTATATAGCGCATTCTTTTTTTTTACTTCTGTCAGAGAGAAGAGTCGTATTACTTTTGCCTAAAAGAGTCATAAGACTTGAACTGCTTAATGTAAGAATAATATATGTAACGAATCAAATCAAAATTTATTATACTGTAACTTTTTTTAACACGTTAATATATATAGATTTAGAATGTGACACACAAAATGTATGATATAATTATGATTAATGAATACGAATCATCTTTTATATATAAAGCATTATAATTTTTTATAATTTAATAATTTTTATCAATTTAATTTGACACATGCAAAGTGTCGTCTCCTCTTAAAAGAGCATTAAAATGCGACTCTTCAGACTTTCGGGTAAATTTCGTAGAAATTTTACATGCGTAATTTTCCTTACTTTTCATCAAAGGTAATAACATAGATAAATATACCGAATGCCTATAGCAAAACTACTAAAAAAAGCTGTTTTGCTTTTTAAAGACGAAATGGTCTTTTGTGCAATATAGTATAATTCAACACACAAAAATTATTCTTATAATTATACTACTAAACTGATATAAGGATTTTACGAGATAACAAACTTAAAAGAACATTGTACGTCATGGAATTTCTGCCATTGTACTGTGTGGAGGAGAAACAGCATATCTACACGAAACACAAACCGCTCGTATAATGAAAATTATTTTTAGCAGCACGAGACAAAACGCGATTGCGCGGTAGTCTTATCATTATAAGTGAGGAGATATAATAATAGCATTTTAAAGGCGAATGAGAAGAATTGACATATACCAATCAACGCTTTATATATATATATTTATATATAGGAAATATATATATATATATATTTTCTATTCCTTTGTACGATTTAAGGGGTTGTAAAAGAAAATCGCGCTTATTAAATAAATGTAGGTGGTAAAACGCGAGAAAAAAAGTGCGTCAAGTAGAAATCGAACGATATAGAAGAAAATATTTGAACGATAAAATTTAGACTTTGACGCGATTATATATAATTACGAGTGTAAACGTGTACCTACAGTAATAATGGCAGATATTTTACATTCATATCATAAACAATAATAATCTACAGGCTGTTGTAGTAATTTGTAGATGCAAATATTTTGATAGTTTTTTAAGGTAAGACATTGAGAGAAATATTTTTAATGATGAAATTTACTAATCTCAAATTTAAATGTTTTATATATCTATTTATTTTTAGTTCATTATTTTAAGATTCTATACACGTCGTTATAATATTTATTTTACTAGTCATTAAATTCTTCAACAAATATATTTAATTATCATTTGAATATGATATAAATATATTCTTAGAAGAATTTTTATCTCTGAAATATATATTTACTTTTGGATTTGAAAGACCAGAAAATGTAGATGAAATTGAGACTAAATTCTAAAGATTTGGACATTTTTAGTATTAAGAGTAGTTCTTGCAAGATTTTAAAAACAGATTCTTGTTTTTCCTTCTTAAATAATTTTGTGGAAACTATGATCTTAAAATGAAAAAATATTGTTTCGAAATTTTTATTTTTCAAAAATCGATTTCTATTCTCACTGTTCAATATATTTTGTCGATGCCTTACCTTAAATTTCTCTCTTGTTTCTCGACTATTGTAAGTTGATCGAATCATAAGCAATTTTCATCTTCATCTGGGAAGAATTCTTCTCGTCTTTCCTTTCCGATTGTTCGCCTGCGTATATATAACTAATGTTACATCGCTTTTATATATCAGTATCACCGCGATAGATGTGCGTGCACAAAACTTACAATCGTTATCACTATCGTTAGATATAACTTACATAATTATTCCCTCGATATACCTCGATAATTAGCGCACTCCTTGACGAAACGCATATATATATATATACACACATAATATATATATATATATATATATATATATATATATATATATTAAGCACAATGCCATAGAATAGTGTGTTTATGGTTGCTAGTAATGCCACCATGTATCGTCCCCAAACATACATATTTGCCTGCCTAATTACATCCCGATGTGCGATGAACATGTGTGTGGTTTCTACGAGAAAGAAAAAGAAACGCTAAGGCTTCTTCCATAATATACAGAATGTACCCGATAGTTTCATAGTATAGGTATTAATGTCTCTGATATTATGAATGTTTTTCGTTTCGTGTAACTCGCAAACTTATTTGCCTTTTCTTTGTGAAGATTACATTTGTTACATTTGATATCGCTGGCGCGATAATTAATTAAAGTCTCGTTAAATATCGAGTGTAGCGGCGAAGAAAAAAAAAGAAAGATGTATTACGGCATATAACATCGCAAAACTCTTGTAATTTGATTTGATATTCAGTGATTTGTGATGTAATTAGTATATGTAATACTATCATACCCAGGGTCAGGATTTCAATATTAAACACACAGATGTAGAAAACGAAAAAATTACATTCATATAATTCTAACAGTCATAATTATTATTATACACAATCTTAATAATTTATTTAATTTGCAAAAAATATAGAATTGTAATTTTGTGACTATTTCAAGTTTTAAAGATATAGTTTCGAACATTTAATAATTTTATCTTTCTATGTATGTTTTTCTGAAGAAATTTTTTAAATTAATATTTTTTGTGAGATTTTAGATTTTTTTTCTGTGGTACATAGGAAATCCTGACCATATATATAATCACAATATAAATTCCTTAAAATAGCATTTAGATAGTATTTTATGTTAAAACAGCGCTGTGTGCGAGACGGAGAGTAGGGGCCATAAATGCGACCAAAAAGAATAGTTTAGCTTTAATAGTGTATTTTTTGTTGTTATCAATACTGTTATTTTTTAGATTTTTTTAGAACTTCTTTGTTGGCATAAATATGCGTTATTGCGTTATATATACTCGATATAGGCACCATATTATTATTATTTTTTTCTTTTTCTGTGTTATATTATTTAACTATCAATTAACTTGTCATGTAACAAGTTAATGGTGATATGTGTTTAACGATAAGTTGTTATTTATTGGCGCTGACGTATTTGCTGTGCAATGACAAGAATTAGAAAATCATTGGATACATATAATGTAAACGCCTTTATAAAATACGATATATATATAATTTAACATATATAAGATAGGCAATAAGAGCCAAATCGCGGATGACAGTGCGTTATTCTAAACGAAACTAAAATTTTTTCGTTAGAATTAAATACCTGTGCACAAGGCACCAAATTTTTACTTGGACACGGCCAAGATATAAAATTGGAATAATCTCTACAGAGATTTTAATTCCATGTATCCCCTATCCCCCTAAAGAAATAAAGTGCGAGAGAAAAATATAGATCCGAAAGTCCCGATTCTGCGAAGATTCTAAAGAAGACCATTTTTAGCGATAACTGTACGATTCTAAAGAAGACCATTTTTAGCGATAACTGTACCGATCTAAAGAAATAAAGTGCGAGAGAAAAATATAGATCCGAAAGTCGCAGAATCGGGACTTTCGGATCTATATTTTTCTCTCGCACTTTATTTCTTTAGGGGGAATAGGGGATACATGGAATTAAAATCTCTTGTAGAGATTATTCCAATTTTATATCTTGGCCGTGTCCAAGTAAAAATTTGGTGCCTTGTGCACAGGTATTTAATTCTAACGAAAAAATTTAGTTCGTTTAGAATAACGCACTGTCATCCGCGATTTGGCTCTTATTGCCTATCTTATATATGTTAAATTTATATTTATATATTACAGAGCCTAGTTAAACTCTAATTACGTTACGATATATATTTATTTATTTAAAGAACAAAAAAAATTATTTTGTGTATAAACACTACTACTCCTTTTAACTTAAACAGTAAAAGTGATTTCTAAAAATTGTTCAGAATTATTTTGTCGCTGATTTTCTCACGTATATGTTTAATTAGAAGCGATGGCAATGAATACATTCCACCAAGTACAAGACATCTTCTGTGAAATTTTGATTAAGCGAAAGAACATATTCGGATTAGACACTTTGCTCTTGCAATATCATTTATAGAGAAAGTAAAGGTTGTGTTTAAGTGCAAATCACTGTCTAGACTATGCATATATAATCTCTCGAACAAATCGAAGAGAGCATTATTATATTTAGGCACATATCAGTGAAAAAAAAATATAATAAAAATTATTATAGCGCGCTCTGCACTTTATATATCGATACAGTTTCCGATTATTAGCATAATGTTCGAATGTCATCGAAAATCGTCGTTTTTTTTTGTTAGAGCGAATTTATAAATGTTAAATTTCCTGTGAAGTTCTTCTTTTATTCCTACTCTTAACTGTCAAACTGCGATTGTCGATTATATCGTTTTGCGCTAACATCTTACACGAATTCGCCATTTCCGTCGATGTGCATCCGTACAATGATATTTTTTAGCGATAACTGTACCTATAGTTTTAATACACTATCACAGGATGGTTGTCACAGTGGTTGTCACGCTACAATAGTCTTATATAAAATATCGATTGTAAGGAACTTCCAAATTTATTTACAAAATTCATTACAGATATTGATACAATAAATGTAATCGACATTGATAATACGAGTGGTCTTATTATTCTCTGCGTTTAATTAAATAAAATCGACTACAAAATAAGTTCATACTTTTAATAAAAACTTGCATCTAAAAGCTTGCTCTAATGCGTATAAATTCTATTTTATCTATTATTTTTTACATTTCTTATTGATTTTATAAAAAAAAAATACCAAAATCTTTTTGAGTCCAGTCATATCATTTCACTTTTATAGATAATCACATTATTTTTTAATATTTAAAAGTCCATTTCCCACGAGTTGAAATTACGCTACCAGAAGCAACGTTTTCTCGATTCTAGCACAAAGTTTTTGCATTTCACCAGGTAACGTGTACTCTGCGGCCAGAATGGCATTCGCCACAGCTATGGTCTCCTTGACTGATCGTGCCTTGATCCATATCCTGCCGTTCATCCCTGCAGCAATTTCATACACCTGATTTCGACCAAGCATCCTGACAATGGGCACTCGGATTGAGCAATTTCCTCACAAGATTCAGCGAGCAAGTGAACATCATGCCGTCCGAGCTAAGCACACCGAGCTCGTTCTCCTTGCCCTGAGAATCCACACATACCAATTCAGGCTCCATATCCTTGCTGGCAACCAGCATCTTGGCGTACACCATGTCGCCGACCTGCAGATCAGGCCGGTTCTTCTTCGTCGCGCCCTCGAAGGCCAAATAAGAGAGAGTAGCCTGTTCGCTGGCACCCACATCCACCTTGTAAATGTCGCCACTCTTTGTGTTACTATACCAACCACATTTCTCCTCGACTAGGAACATACCTGTGAATGAAGAGTAGATTAATGAAAGCTAATATTTGTAATTATGCGATTAGGATCTCTTGTTCCAGACGCATCAAAATTAAAACGAAATCTGATCATAAAATCTTTAACAGTCTTTTAAATATCATGTCATAAGATGTTTTGTGTTTTGATTTTGGATATACCTATATTAAGAAGTCTTTCTTTTATATCATATCATAAGATGTCTTAAAGATGTCTTGTGTTCTGATTTTGGATATATTATATCGTTGTCTAGAATAATAATTAAAATAATGATTAAATAAATTAATAAATATAATTGAATAAATATAAGATAAATATAAGATAATTAAATAAATACAAAACGTAGAATGACAATGTTTCTATACCTTTTTGATAGCTGTCCACGTAGAAGACGGCCGGTTCGCGTTTCTTCAGGATACCCGCTTTGCAGACGTAAACGGTATTGCCTTCGCGGCGCAATCCGGGTCCAGGATCACGTTCTCTCTCTCATTCTTGCCTTCCTTTTTGATTGACATATCCTTCAAACTATCACCCGGCATCACCATATCACCGCGCTAATTTCCTTCGAGCAATTTTGGTAAAAGGCTTTTAATTCCTCTCCCTCTTTCTATTATTATTATTATTATTATTCAAATGATAAAATGCATGGATTTTCTTTCAAAATTTCACTGAACACCACGTGCGTCTAAATCTATTTTCAATCAGATGATCGGAAGAGCTGCACTTTCTGCACTTTCTGTACACTTTCTGCATTTTCTTGTAATTTTCCCTCTTCCTCTTTTTCTTTAAATATCGAATATATTGTATAAAAAATTGATATATGTAATGATCTTCTCATCAGAGGCAAAATGAGTAAACAGAAAGTTTGGACGTCACGGAACAAGTAGATTCTGTCAAAAAACATGCATTGCAACGTAACCAAGCAATATACAATCCTTGTTACAAGGTATTTAAATGTTTCATAATGTTAAACATATTATGTGAAAGTAAGTTAAATAATTTTTAAGTTGTTTCTTTGTTCTGTAGAAAATAAGAAAAAGAGCATAGAAAATGCAATGAAAAAGAAACTTGTATAGCTGTGATTTACATTTTTAAGTTGTTTCTTTGTTTTGTAGAAAATTAAGAAAAAAAGCATAGAAAATGCAATGAAAAAAGAAAACTTGTATAGCTGTGATTTTACATTTTTTTAGGAACACCTTTTATCCCTAAAATGTTTGGATACTAATCAGGAAAACCGTAAAGCGTGCGAAGTATACTTTGTTAATTATAAAAATTGTAAAGAATTTTGGGTAAGAGTTCTCTTCCAATTAACAATATATATGTATGTCTCTTCTCCATCAAATGGTTGAAAATATTTTTCTATCCAGGCTAAGTGCAGTCTGAACGCAAATTACAAGGTATCAGACCATATATGCCACCCTTTGAAGAGCGTGCAAAGATAAAGGCTGATTTTCTAAAACTCTAGATAGTGATAAATGTATATAACCATTTTACTTTGTAAAAATATCTTTTATTTCGTGAAATCTTAGGTATTTTTCAATCGTCTTGCAATTTCACTGTAATATATTATATATATAGTTTTCAACAAAATGTAAGCCAATGTAAGCTTTAGTAAGCATATTAAAGACATAAAAACAATTGATTTGTCAACCAAGTCTTAAATTTTTGTGATATATGTCTTAACATAGTTAATGTTACATGTTTTTAAACATTATTTCAATGTATCTAACATTGTAATCAAAAATTTTCGTTTTAAAGTATATAAAATAAAATAATTTCTGTCATTGATATTTGATTATATTGAATTTTGCAAGTAGAATTTCGTATAGAACTAGACGATAAAAGTAATAATACAAATCATACATATCTTAACATAAAATTACCTCAATATAAACAATAATACACTCGACCCATTATCATACTTATTAACTTGTACTAAATGACTTGTATTACTACACAACA